AAAGCAATCATGAAGCCGGCTTGTTTAGCTTAGCCTTCACAACAAAGTAGCGTTTCAGTAGAGCGTGACTAAGGGCAATCCTCATTCGCCATGTTTTAACCACCGTAGTTGTATCGCTTCAGCTGACAGAGAAATATTGCACACACACGGCCACTGGATGGAAAGGCGCGCAGCCCTGGTTTACATCAGGTGGTTTTGCCACCGATTCTGAGTTAAAGTGTTTCATGGCTACGCCTCAACGAATAGACTTGAGCAGACGACATGCTTTGCATTTGACCAACAGTAAATATCCAACAGTTGAGATAAGAAGAGAAAAACACGCAGGAATGATTACATCAATGCACTTTTAAGCTGGTGGTGCAATTCAATGGAAAAGCTTGAAAGACTCGTCTTGACACCAACAATGGATGTTTCGCATTGTGGATGAATAACGCGTACTTGCTGTTCATGGAAGCCCAATGACGCAAAATTGGAGCTTGATGATGAGCTTGAGTGCACCAATTAGTGCAAGAGGAGACAATGAAAGCAAACGCGTTTAATGGAAATGATCAAAATTTCCAGTGGATCGAGTAAAAAATAGTGCCACTTACACAACTTGACAAATTGTATATTAGAGCGCTTACTCAGGAATTTGTAACTGTGAGAATTTTAATGCGCCAACAGCCTAGTAAATTGCGTAACCGTATATGTAAAGGCCAAACTGATCAAGCTATTGGTATTGCACTCAAATAGGTAAAACGACAGACGTTTTGTTGAGTAGCAAGTAATGCTTTCATCAATGTACTGATCCCTCATTAGGTAAAATAGAAGCACATAGTCCAACCTATTTGAAATATGCGATATTTGAAATAGTATATGTAGGTTGAGGTAAGGAATCTGAACTGTGATAGCAAAAAGAAGATACCGTTCGGGAATCATCTGCACAACTGATGACCCGTCCGCAGGGCTAACAACACAGGATCCAGTCCACCTCCTAACAGTGTTCTCAAGTGTGGGCCTTCCATCTTATCCATTGTCCATTCAGACATCCAATGCTCAACGGGTGCCGAACAGACGTTTGTCACTGGTGGACCGATTAGCGTGGATAAGTCAGCCACGAGGCACAAGCTGAGAGCACACACGGCCCGCGGCATCAATGTCACCCCTCCGCTTACTCGCCCATGTTCTGGGAATTTGTAGCTAAATTTGAGATTGCAGCCAACCCTGTCTGTTTACCGCTTTGTCTAGCAGTTTGGG